TAAGTTACACAATTATGAATTAACATATTTCGATACATTGATCTTAATAATACATTTTTCAATCAATGGCTAAATTTTTGACATATAGGAGGTGTCAACAAAGGTGTACACATTTAGATGTACAAGTAACCTTATTCATAAAATCAGTATATTTATCCAGAGCAAGAAATAAATTATCAACTATATTGTTATAAATGAGAGCTGCCCATTTTCTTATCGTACAATGAAATCTGTTCCCTCATCAGGAGACCTATCCATAGAATTGTATAAATTTGGACCGCCCAACATTGATATAGCAAGTTTTTAACTCTATATTTTATTTTTCATTTTTAATGTCGGGGAACCAACGGCTGCTATCCTTCGAATGCGCACTGGATAAACCCTCAAACTGAAACAATAACTTGCAAATCATGTCAACCAAGTAAACCGCACTAGACAAGTCCGGTGCGACAGACTAAATTGAGAAAGTGTTCGTAGAGGGAATCGAACTCGTAGCAAGTTTTCATTTCTACAACAGGAAATGGTCCGTTACTGCAGAAGTGCAGATTCCAAGCCCAAACACAGGTTACCCTTTTTTTCTGCCTTTAATACTGAAATTATTCAGTTACAATGAAGTACCATTGTTCAATGAGATACTAGATTAAATGTTTTTGTTTTGCAATATTTGTAACATCTTGATTTTAACAAATAATGTAGAAATAGCACTCTACGAGTTAAAGAAGTAACAACCCTAATAAATAATAAGTTAGTCGAGTTAGCCCACAATAATAAGTTAGTTGAGTAGTGAGTAATAAAAACATGGAAGAGTGCTGTAAAAGATCTCCATACTTTATTTATCCTACTACAGAGGAATATAACTTACAAAACCAGACAATAAAAAGTGGCCATATGTTCAAAAGAAACAAATCACACTTCATTTTGTCGCCTAGTACTAAATGACACACGTGAAAATGCAAGTAAACGATGCTCATATGGTTGGGACGATCTTGAAATTTTCGCGCTATGCGGTGGCTACGTGCAAATTTTGATACAGAGTTGATAAATTGAAGTCGGTGCGCTAAATGCTTGTTTGGGATAGTTTAAAAAGTTTCTCAAATTTTAAGGTCAAACAAATAATTATAACTAGATATTTTATGAGATTCATAATTTTTATCAACTTTTCAACCATGTATTTCATCAAAATTTATCAAAATCTGCTAAAACTGAAAGATTTGCCAAACAATCATGTACAAGGGAGAAGACGCAGATGTACAGAGGCTCACTCCGGCAAGGGGGTTGAGTACAGAGTTGTGGCCACCGTCCGTGCCCCCAAAGGGATTTAAAGAGAGGGGACGAGTACCCAAAAATCTACTATGGATCCACCCACACCAACTACGTTATAAATAACACAGACATTACTAAATGTGGGAGTACTCCCAGACTCCCAACCACCGAAAACAATAATCAGCTGGATGCAACAACAAACTTGACATCAATGCACGGACTATACGTAATATATCCTGAACCATAATATTGGAAAGAAAAAAGCAGGAAATTTTTCATTCTTATGGGATGAATGTAAAATTTCAGAAGAACTAATGGAGTAACAGTGTCCCTGGTATATTCAAGTATAGATCTGTACCTCTCTTGAATCCCATTAAAGAAAAACTGTATATGGCAACAAATATAGCACATTTTCTTAATGTTCTGCAGAAGTATGTGCAGCAAAACTGCATGAATTCAGCAAAACCAACAATAATACATGGGCAGAGGACACGAACCTACGGCAAAAACATTTTAGATTACATCCTCCACTATCAACGGTTTCAAGAAGTATAAGTGCACGATAAAACCCAGTACGGGCTTTCACAGGTTGCCTATAAGTTGAGATCATACACATCATTGTTACCTCAAAAACCCACTTCTTCTACGCTCTCACAAATTACTGGGAATAATCGACACAGAATCAACACAAAGTCCACCTTTGGAATGCGTGCAATCAATCTGTTTCATTGAAAATCTCACTTCAGTCTCAGGATCTAATTCGCTAACTATGAATTCGCCTACCTTGTAATCTATCCAGCAGCCACGCTTGTGGTTCCCATTTGTACCATCTTGTTCAGTATCATCTAAGAAGCACTCAGTCGATGCTTGCTGACCATCTGAAGTAGACAATTCAAATCGTACTGGTTTTACATCCCAACCATGAGTGTGCTCAAAATTGCAAACACGGCGTCCAAGCCGTTTGGAAAATTTTCCAAGGTGAACCCTAACTGACAAAGTATATATATCTGGATTGAAAGGGAACTTCACCACACCAGCTACTTCAAACCACCATATTTGCTGCAAATAGGCTATAACAGGAAATCTGTAACGAAAGCAGCACAAAAAAGAGAACGTCATATTCTAAAATCTTCAATCTCGTCGCAATATATAAAATGAAAAATGGGTGAGCCAGTTACAATGGCAGATGGTGTTAAATTTGGTGCAATAAATATCTCAGGCAGAATTCTCAGTTACATTCTACAATAAACAAACAGCAAGCTTCTCCACACAGCATATTGCATTTTTCCAAATAGACAAAAATGATTTTGTCTGAATGTAAAATCAATAATAACTCACTAAACTGCATGCAGATAAACTCAGTGGGCTAACACGTTACACGCAAGATTTTGTAAGTCCACTTCACCCTGCTTCATTCAGGGATTCAGGGTTGAACTAAATAATTGGTTATTTATACTTATTTGGTTGATACGTTTCACTACTATGCCATAAAAAGAGAGATTGGCCAGACTGACAATAATAAAAGTGTAGCACATACAAAATAGTATATGCACAACAAAGGAAGATATATACCAAGGTATACAGGAAGCTTTAAGTTTTTATGAGCCCATTGCAAGTCGCTCTCTAGCAAAAACAGAGGTAGAAAGATCAATTCCTTCATCTGATTCTAGAAAAAATTGTCCTAGAGAAGCTTTCTGCACTTGGGATCAAGGCCTAGCTCAAGTGGTAACCACGAAGCCTTACCAGGTCACAGGCTGGGCCAAGTCTCACTTGGGAGGTTCAAAAAACAAAAGCATTTCCACAAACAACTTCATGTATATTTGCATCCTCAATTTTAGCTTTATGGCTTCATTTACGTTTAAGTTAGTGGAGCAAAAAAAGGTTCTAGACTTACTAATATGAGGGCAAAAGTTTCAGCAACTCCCATTGATCTCAATAAGTTAAAGAGTTATCACCAAGCCTTGTACATTTCATCAATCATAACAATCACTATGCTCGAGAAGCATTACCGCTTATTGAAGACTTTCCTATGACAGAAAACTGACAGCTAAGTGGCAACTTACCCTTCTTATCTATCACCTTCCTTAACATATATCTAAATTGAAGTTTGGACATATAACACATCATTTATGATAGCTTATTGCCTTAAAATCTCCCTTAATACATATCTTATATATTCATAAATAACTGAATGATACTGTTTTCCATTACTCAAGGCCAAGACCATCAGGAAGCAGTATCTAGAGATGATGTCCTAAAATGAATCTCTCATATCTAATCTATGCGAACAAAGTCCTTGCATCACCTCCACAGTGGATGACTGCCGAATCTGAATCCAGGTAACACAATACTTGCACAAACAACTCTGTTAATGTTCATCATGCTTTGGGTTGGGAAAAAGGTCTAAAACCTGAACAGCTTAGGCCCACAAGTGTGAAATGTAATGGGCTGAAACAGCTCCCCAAAAGTATATCACACTGATTGTAAATGTCTCAAGGCATTGTGCCCTCGTAGATAAAGACCTATATATAGATAGGTCACCTAATATACGGTATTTTGGTGCTCTGGAATTCCTCTTACAAACTGGATTGAAATTTGGACACAAAAGAAAGGTCACACAAATAACTATATCCCTGTGCCTCATCCTAAATATACATGTAAGGTTCGGTTGAGTTGAGGTAAATTGATATTCTAGTGCATAATGCTTAACTTCATACATTGACATAATATTATAAACTCCATGGGTCTGATAACCGAAATTTTACTGTTTTCTTATATTCAATGCTTGTTTAACTTTACCAATCAAATTAAGAATCAACAAACTACACGACGTAGATGCTAGTTGTCATAACACTACTCCCAAGGAAGCAATAAGATTCTTTCTCACTCTTCCAGATATTTGTTTATATTGGGCAATGCTTCTTAAAAAATATAAAAAATAATAAAATAATAGTAATAATTATTATTCTGACTCCTCCACGATTTTTTTTTTTTTTTTTTTCAGTAGTGTTTACCAGATATAAGCACAGGATAAAATAGGAGTCATTTAAACCTGCAATAGCTCCAGTGGCAGATACACCCCCAGCCCATTACATTTTTCTAATGTGTAAAAAAAAATTAAAAATAAAATAAAAATAAAAAACATTTTTAGCTCAGCTTAAAAAAAATTTTAGTCTAGTCCTCTATCCGGCCCTGAATAGCTATGAACAATCCTAGCTGTTCAGATATAAATTCTTGCATTGTCATCACAAAATTGAATATCGGGAAAAAAATATGCAGTCCATCCATTGGAAAAAGAAAGAAAAGTTCAAAATATTTTTCTTAAGGAAATTTTAACAAGAAAACTAATCCAATAGGTAGAGTACATCTTGTTTAAACAAAATTCTTTTCTTGTTCCACCAACATCAAAGTTGAGCTCCAAATAAACTAAAAAAATGACATACTAGAATTACATGCAGTGACACAAAAAACCCGAACATATTGAATTCACAGTATAAACTTAAATAGGACTTCCATTTAACAGAAATATATGTGAAACAGTTCAAAACTATTAACATCTTTTATGAATGTAACATTGACGATCAAAGAAATTTATCATAGTTGATCAACTAAAAATAAAATGATGGTATCTACTGGCATCAGGTATTAATATTAGTAATGGCTAGAATCGAACCTGGATTCTTCTGTAGGAACCCAATTCCAATATCTCCTGTCTTCAATCCCAGTTATTGTCATTGCCTTGGCTGATATTGACATGCATACCCGCCCAGAAAATTTGTCTAACCATACTTCCTGCAATTTCCCCAAGTCAAAAGGACAGGAATCAATATAAAGAATTACCCACATAAACCCAAATCAAAAGTACCAAATAATAGATTTCTAATCCCTCGATACACTAAAAACAAAAGATTTTTCCAAAATTTTAGACACCATAAAACTCAAATTATAAACCTACCCATAAGATCAGAGAAAGAAAAGGACCTATATTTCAACTTTCACCATCCCAGAAAGCAGAAGAAGATATTTAACATAAAAAAATAAAATAAAATTCCGTGCATTGAGACAAGAATCAAGATGAACAAAATAGTCTAAATAAATCAAGGATGAACCCAAAAACTCATTAGTTCAGTATATAAATACGAGTAAAACACTCAAACCATCTAAAGAAATTCTGGGGGTTGGTTCACATTCTTATCCAAAATTAACATAAGGTTTTCACAGAATGCAAAATTCCCCCAATTCCACTGCTAACAGGGAAATTAAAATTAAAATCAAATTAAATTAAATTAAATTAAATAATAATAAAGAAACCAAACCCTAATCATTCCAAAAATAAGTAGCATATAATTCAAGATAATCAAAAATTAGATCCACGAGATAATTATCTTACCACGGAGAGTGTAGGAGATTACAGTGAAGCTATAAATTATAATACGATTTTTTTATTATTTTTAAATGATTTCCTGTTTCTTAAAGTAAAAAAGAAATATTTTTTTAACGTGCCTTGTTGCCGTCATCGAAGGGATGGGGCCGCGAGAGGATGGCAAAGATGGCTTTCTTGGAGAGCTTGTGGTGGATGTCTCCGTCTGTCTGAGGGAGGAGGCCGAGGAGATGATGGTAGTTGGAAGGAAGCTTGGCTTCCCAAACGGCGTCGGATGAGGCAGCCCCACGGAAGGCCCGATTGAGGCGGGCCAGATTGCAGATCTCCGGCGGCGTCAGGTACAGAAACACACACGCCACGCAGCTCTCGGGTATGTCCCCCAGACTCGGACCTCCGTTGCTCGACCCATTCTCCGTCAAAAGCGATAATGATGCCCCCATATCAAATGCAAAACTAATATATCTGGCTGTTATTAATTAAACAAGGGTTGGTTTTATAAACTTTAGAATCATAGTGGTGGACCGGTGATGGTGCAACGACGTGGGAGTGGTGGTGGTGGTGGTGGTGGAGGTAAGTAATGAGGAAGGATACAGCGGGACAGGGGAAGGTCCAGTGAGGAGACTCCGACACACAGTTCACATTTAGCATGAAATTCAATGCCCTTTTCCGTTTAGTGCGCACGTTTTATTGGATACCGCTTTTCGGAGAGTTTTGTCGAAGGATTTTTTTATTTTTTTTTTAAATCATATTCTTATAGTTTAAAGTTTACAATCTATAATGTAATTACACTATTTATTAAAAGAATTCATTAAAGGAAGATTTTATATGTGTTTATATTATGAAATTAAAATCTAACATCAAATGAATAAAAATTAAATTTAGAAAATTAAAAAAATATAGAAAAATCTTCAATTGACTCTTTTAATATTGTAAAAAATAAAATCCTTAATTATTATCTTGTAATTAATATTTTTTTCAATGAATAAAATATAAATAAATAATTTTCTATATTATTTATTATTTTGTAGCTAAAAATCAATTTCTTTTCCATGTCAAATTATAGTAATTTAGAAACATAAAAAAATTGTTAAGAATTCATGTGTAATTTTATGAAATATATTTTGGAAGATTTTTTCACTTTAGACAAGATAGTTTCATAGAATAGAAGAATATATAAATATAATTAACAAAAGTGTATAATATTCTGTAAGAAATGAAAATTTAAAAAAAAAAAAAAAGTATGTAAATGATACAATGAGAAGACTTGATAAGATGTTAATTTACGGAAGGAAAGATGAATGAAAATATTAATTATTTAGATGAAAATGAAACAGTAATTGAATTAACTTTCAGACAATAAAAAAATATTAGAATTTGGTATGTAAACTGTTATATAAGGTAATAAAAAATGTATGATTTGTTATTTCAAATTACACGATTTTTGTTCTATTTAACTATTTTTATTGATAAATTTTTAATTCTTTTTAGCAAAAATCGTTTCTTGGTACGTAACATAAATCCCATTGTAAGATTCTCTGTAGTAAATTAATTGACATTTTACACTATTAAGAAAGAAAAATTACTTGTGTCAGTGTTAGGTTTTACCTGCAATCTACCTGTCTTAAATAATTCTTGACGCGTTTCAAGGGGGGGTGGAAAAAAAGAAAAAGAAAAAGAAAAAGAAAAAGAAAAGATGTCTGCCGTCTAAAGAACATGGTTTCACGTGGGAGATTTTTATAAATGGCCTACTACTATTTATTTTTGGTAAAACGTCTATAATACCCTTAATAAAAGGATTTGTCATATTTGCACAAGATATCCTTAATTTATTGGGATAGTTCTAAATTTTTCTATTTCTCTCATTTCGAGTTTTAATATATAATTCCATCCTTTGATCTAATAAATTAGAATAATCTGTAATATAATTGTCATGTAATTTACTAAGATTATCATATTTCTTATATGAAATATCCATAATCTCTAGTTGAGCAAAAATATTTCTTATTTTTTCCAATAGTTTTTCTAACAGATTATCTAATCCTTTAATTGTATAACCTGGCATTATTCAGATAATTCCTTACAAGCTTTATGAATAACATGTTATATAAAGTTTTTGCAAACATGAAAAGCAATAATCCCTACGATTCTTTCAAGATATTAGAAGAATTCTTTCTAAATTTAACAAAGACAATAATTTTACCTTACTTTTGTTCTTGAATCTGTATTCTTAGAACCGAGTGACCTTCAGGCTCTGAATCTGCAAACTGCTCTCTCAAACGGCCTCTTGCCTCAATGGGAATTTTGCTATTTCAGCTTCTTGCCCTCACTGTATCTTTTCTTAGAATTAAGAGTAAAAATCTTAAGTAAAGAAAATTCTTTCTTTGTTAAAGTAAGAAAGAAATTATCTTCTTCAATCTATCAAGAATCTATGGGATAGGAAATTTAGAAACTCATATCTTTCTGATATCAAAAGATTGAAATTTTATTTCTATAATGATTTATACAAGGTTTCTATTGTATACAAGGGGTTTCCAGAAGAACTGGTTTTGAGAAAAGTTTAAGGAAAGAGAATGGTTTCTAACTCGAGATGCCATTCTTTCCCCAAATACCTCTATTTATACATGACTCAAACTCACTATTATTGATCTATTACATCATTACATACATCAGAATTTTGAAAAAGGCTCACATGCCTCTCTATTCTTTTCCTCCTGGGGTCTACATCTTCACATGCATTTTTTACTTTTTTATCAAAGTGGCATCTTTTCTTCTATTATTGCCTTATCATCTTTGGCTTCATATGCAGCTGGCTAGATGCTCTTCTATTATTGTTTTTCCATCTTTGTCTTCATACGCAGCTGGCTAGATGCTTTGGTAGTGGTAGGTCC